TTTAGCAACACAGGCCCACAAATAACCAACAGGTCCAAGAAAAATGATGCAGTAAATAACATAACAAAGATGACGACGATCGAGAATCGAGATGTGACCGAGCATTACCAGTCACTCGGGATGAAAGGTCAAATGGCAAGGCCACGCCATGTTCCCCGTTGACTATATAATATGAAATGACAATTAAATAACAATGTGACTTAAAAAACACACTCGAAATTTTTTATTACTTTATATTTCCCAAAATAATCAAGGAAATCGCATAATTAAATTTAGAAGAGTAAAAATTCCAAAATAAAAGCTAATAAAATAGATTCTGCTTTAGATATTCTCCATCTTATCTTCCTATCTTCTCCTGTTTGTATCTACCGGTAGACTAGCCGGGGGAAAATGGTACATAGTAGTAATACAATCTTCATAATTCATCCTTTGCATCGCTGCTGGAGCTTTTAATGCCTTGTTTGGCATTAGAATCCTCGGATGCCGGAGTTGAAGTTGGTTTCTCGAGCTTAAAAGGGATCGACGCGTGTTTCTTGAGAAATTTGTAGAATGCAACTACTGTTCGATCCGCGTCAACAGTAATCTGTCATGTAACGAAGAAATGCATTTAATTGTAATTTTTGGAAGTGGAGAGTACAACAATCCATATGAACCACAAATATCAAAAATTCAGATTGAAGTTTTCAAGTACTACTCACAGGATCAGAACTCTTGTTTCCTGCTGGGAAGAAGAGAATAGTGGGGAATCCATCGGCCTACAAAAGGAGCATAAATAATTTTCACTTTTATAAAAGTCTCTATGACTATAATCATGTCCTGAGAAAGACTGAATACTAAACGACAATGAGTATCAACAATCATGGGACAGTTCAGACCATAAAGTCACATGTCGGCGGATCATATTTGGTTAAGCTTAAAATGTCTACTTATTTATAAGTACTAAAATAAAGTCTTTTTATTGGCCAAAGTTGCAAAGTAAGTTATTTAGCCCCTGTTTGAAACCCATTTTTTTCTCATTCTATTTCTCATTCTTTATTTCAACCACACATTTTATTAATAAAATAATATTACACAAAAACCCAAAAATTCTCTTTACTTTTTAACCACACAATCTTTCATCAATCACTATTCCAAAAATTATTTTCAAACAAAATGGGTGTCAAACATGGGCTTATTATGAGAGTAAACGGAGAGTTACTTTCAATGTGTGTAACTTTTTTTTACATAAAACTAAAAAGAGTAACATCTCGAGTCTCAACATGTTTGGAAACAAATAGTTGCTTAAACATGCTATATTTTCAATCATAGTAGGAATATTATTGAAAAGGAATCAGCAGATATTTTGAGGACTGAGGAAAATTTACATAACATTACCTTGGCCCTGGGGTGTTCATTTGTCGTTCCGTCCATTTTGGCTATAACAAGAGATTCAACACCACGCAAGTGCTTGGCAAGCTTGTTGTACGTTGGTTCAAGAGCTTGGCAATGGCCGCACCATGGAGCATAAATCTGAACAAGAATTTATAACCATACATTAGAAACGGGCCTCGGAAGAAGATCCAAAAAAAATTGTACCATGTGTTTTTTACCAATCCCAATTATACCTCAAGAAGAACATCTTTAGACTCATCCAAAACAATTTCATCAAAGTTGTTCCCAACGACTGTTTTTACATCCCCGTCATTCTGAAATACAACAGATTATGGAAAAAGTTGAGCAGCAGAAACAAATGATAAATTGATCACCCAGGAACAGATGACCACTTACACTATTGGGAATTGGATCTGACTTAAAGAATGGTTTGAGCTTGTCTTGATCCTTTAGGAGAGCAAATGCCTATAAAGAAGAAATAATCAGAAACCACAAATTCTCAACAAAAACCACTCAAATTGGTTGAGTAAGAAAAGGTAACTAGTAAAGTAAAAAAGCTGATAAATCAACAGATAAAGGGATATTCAGCAATTTCAAATTTCAACCTTAATTTTCTCAAATGTGATTTCCCCATTGAAAACGAATTTCTTAGGATCATCATTTCCTGTGTATCCCAGAACCTATAAGAAGTAAATCAACAGCTTAACATCTCATTGTACTGTAAATAAACAGACCCATTATTCAAGCATCAATGAACTTGTAAGGAAACTGCAGCAAGTCGAGAAATGTTACTTTTGAAGCATCTCCATTAACTCCAAAATAATCTGCTACAGGCCTTCCAACATCTTCATTGTCCATTTCCACTTGCACAAATATAAGCTGCATTGTGTGGGAAAGAAGTGTTGTAAGGGAGAGAATATTTACATCCCCACATACAAAATGAAAAAGACTATTAAAATTTTAATGTTTCATTGATTGTGATTTTCAGCTTCTCTATCATTTTATTGATTCACATGCTAGGAACATCAGCTTTCTGCTTTCGTCAATAAGGGGGTGTTTGTTTGGGATTTTTTGGGGGAAGAATTGATTTTTGAATAGTATCTGATATGATGGGAAATGTGTGGTTGAAAAAGAAGAAAAAATTATTGATGTGATGGAAAATATTATTTTATTGAAGAATGTGTGGTTGAAAATGAGAATTAATTTACTGTAGAATTTGAGAATCCCAAACAAACAAGCTCTAAAAGTTAAAGCCTTGCTTCTTCCTTTGGCGTTTGAGAAGAAACAAGAGTAGCTGAGATGCATTTGCGGTGAAACCCAAAAAAACATACTAAGAAATAATAATAGTTGTCTGTTGATTATAGATTGTAAAGATGGATATATATGCAGAACAAAAATTTAAGATTGTGTTGCTACATTAAAGGGGCTGCTAGATGCAACAGTGAAAAAGATACGTGAGATCTAGATGCAAAACTTAAGGATAGGGCAAAACAAATCAAACTGAACAAGGTTAATAAAAAAGGTAAAAGAGAATCCATCCAACAGAATCCAAATAAGTATAAGATGAGGATTTTTTGAGTTATTGAGCATTTGAAAAGAAATCATTTGTTTTCTCTCAGAAACTCAACATGAAGAAGGGGATTTAAGCGACTTCAGCACAAATTCCTATAACATTTACCTTTTTCAACAGTGGAGAATTTTTTGTTAGTAATTTCAGCCTCCATCTAGGAAAAAGATGTGAATCATATCTCAAAGATTTACTTTCTGCAGCATAACATCTCTCAAGTGCAAATATCTGGAATTACATTGAGGGATAGAATGTGTTTTGGGCATGCAAGTCAACCTCATGTTTGAGAAAAGGTGTGGGTGCAGGGGGGGGGGGGAGTGACTTCGACTGGCTTTTAGCAATATTGAGATTTAACAGAAGAAATGGACGCTTTCAGATTGACAATTACCCGAGGAGTCAAGGAAGTGAAGACGATATACTGATATCCACATAACAAATAGCGAAAAGGTTGAAGGCGCTATCGCACAAATCCCCCACTATTATTTTCTTTCATAAATATTTTTAATTGGTTGATTGAATTTTTACGACAGTTTCTTCAAATTGACAAATATACCATCAACTTTAACCTTTAGAATTTTGCAGTACCTTTCCCTTGAAAAGTTTTGCAGCTTCTTGGAATGTAGGGACAACCTTTTCTGAATCTTTCGATGTGGTAAACAGCAAAAGCTGAGAATAGAAAGCATAAAGGACAATTAAAATCCTCCATAACAAGCTCTCAAAAAAAAAAAGTCCTCCATAAGAAAGGCGACTTTATAATTTCTAGTACCAGTTACTTTCAGGGAAAAAAAGTCAATACTAATTTGAATGGCTCGTAGCAATACCTGTTTCTTAATTGGGCTCTCAAAAATCAAAGGTGCACTTTCTCTTGTAAAAGTCGTAACAAGAGGAAGCTTGTTGGCAAAAACAAACTTAGCTATCGTGGACTCTGTGAACTGCTCATCTGAACAATTCATGAGCATAAATGAGAGAGAGAAAGAGAGCTTGAGTTGGTGTACAGGTTGAAACTAACCATAATGGGTTACTTTCTCAGCCTCCTTCTTTAGCAAGACCAAAGCAGGGCGTTTAACATTGGGATCCATGTGAAACATCTTTGCCACATTCGGGTTTGCAGTTTGGTAAAAATTAACATCGTCGTCAAGCTTCGATGCAGCAGCAAGCTCCTCGCTCTCATGGCCCTGTATTTGTCAGAAATAACACCCAGTTTCAACATATAGATGACGGTCCACTTATAAGCCTTAGAAAAGACCAGTGTAAAACAAATATTATTAAAGTATCAACTGCAGAAAACTGAAGAAAAGTAACAGCTGATGAATGAGTATGAAAAGATAAAACTACCCAAAGACCAACACCAACTACAAAGTAAAAGTAAGTCACTATCATCGAGATTGTTTTCTATCATGCAATGAATTCCTCCGGTCATATTTGGTGAATAAAATTCCAGAAAGAGAAAAGGAAAAAGGAAATAAGAGGATTGCTTGAATACAAGACATCTGTTCGTCGTTCGTCAAATATAGCAGCACTATCTAAGCTTTGAAAACATGATTTAGCTAAGGAATAAATTATCAACTATTAGGAATGAAGAATTTTGAAGTCTAAACATCCAGACTGTCACAATTCAGTGATTATCTGACATATCAGTTAAATATATCATCAAAGAAAAGGATAGATCAAGTGCACACATACTGCTAATGAATCGAGGAAACCCAAAACAACTTTATTCTCAGATGTTAATATGCGCTCTGCATCCTCTGTTGTTGTAATATTGGTTATGCCAGGCCCAATTTTCTTCTTAATCCAGGTAACAATGGCATCCCTGCATAGAAATAAAATTGTCTTATCAAATTAAATATATGTAAATTCTAAATGGATAACTAGAAACTTTATTTTGGTAAAATAAGGCATGAACGATAAACAGGCCAGGTACTGAGGCGTTTCACTGAGGCGAGGCGAGGCGAGGCGTGAACCTCAAGTTAGACCAATAAATATAAAAATACAAACGCATGCTCATTTTAGAACAAATTTTAAAAAAAAAAAAAAAAAATCTAACTTGCAAACAAATATAAAATAAATCAGTAGATTAAAAGAAATTGCCCAAAAAGCTAATACCATTAATAGACGGGCAAACAACTTAGTCGTCTTGAGGCTTAGCATTCGGGTGTAAGCGTCAAAAATGACAATCAAGGGACAGGGTTTGATGGGTTTTATGAAAGCCTCACACGAGGCGGGATTTGAGGCCTACTTTGATCTCCAAACCTTTACGTAAAAGGTGAAGATTGTTTTAAGTGATAGTTAAGAAAAGAAACCAACAAGAAGTCTCACTGGCTCAATGTATCTGGGATATGAATCTTTTCAGATGAGTTGAAGTAGCACAACTCTGAACTCAGAAAATCATCCAGAGTGGTCTAGCATTTCTCTAAACAGGCCAACTTGATAAAAAGGTGGAGGTTTCTAAGGAGCGTATATCGCCTCTCACATCTAATATGCTACCTCAAGAGATATTGACCTCTTAAATGCTACTCGACGGACGAATTTCGTATACTCACTTCAAAATTACATTTCGGCACTTGTCGACTTGATGAATGGAGCTATACTAACCCATTTGCAAGGCTGTAACAGAAAATATGATAGCCAGCAAAAAAGAACAATGTATATAAGACAATATTTTAAATAAACCATATGGGTTTTGCAATCTGTACAGCAAAGAAAACTCGATTCAGCCTCAAATAAGTAATAATTTCAATGCAGAAAGACAAAGCAAAATCAGAATCCCTCCGTACATTTTTACCATAAAATATTTTAAAGCTAAAATCTTTACCCAAATTCAATCACTGTTACCAAACATTGCGTTTCGAATTTCTGAACATCTCCAATTCTCAAGTTCTCAATTTGAAGCTACAAAACTACAAAAATGAAATCTTTCGCAATTCTTTCTTCTCTACAACAACCTAGAAGCCAATATACCTCAATTTGAGCACTCATTTTAGTCACCACACACATAAAAGTCTGTAATGAAAAAAACAATGGAGGTGAAACTAGGAACTCACTTCGTTCGTTGACCAGAATAAGGTTTATGCTCCCCATCAACAAAGAAGTACACAGTAGGAAACCCCTGAACTTCATACTTCTCCGCCAGTTCACTCTCCTCCGTGGCATCCACCTTGGCGAGTTTCACATTCTCCGCCTTCAGCTCGGTGGCAGCAGTAGCGTACTCCGGGGCTAGGGCCTTGCAGTGCCCGCACCACGGCGCATAAAACTCCACCATCACGTACTTATTTTCGTCCACAAAATCACTGAAATTCCCATCCGTCAAAATCACGACGTCCTTCTCATCAATTTTGGCCATCTCATCCTCCTCTCCCTCCTCGTTACCGAAGCTCGACGGGACCTCGAAATCATCATAATTCTCGAACTCTTCATCTTCATTGTCGGAGTATTCAGCGTCAGGGTGAGGGTGTTTCGAATCGGAGGAGACGTCGGTTTCGTCATCTTCGAGAAAACTCAAGTCTTCTTCGTCGTCAGCGGCTGCTCTGGCGGAGAGGATGGGTGTAGAGAGGATAGAGAATAGAAGGAGAGAGACGAGCGTGAGGAGAAGAATGAGTCGGCTCGGCATTTTTGGGTTTCAGTGGTGAGTTTGACTCGGATCGGTGTCGGGAATTGACTGAGATCTGACCGACTATGATGGGGGTGAGCTGTTTGTGGAGGAGTAAAACGTCCTTACGACGTCGTACTATTGTTGCCTTGACTTTTGCAGATCAATGATATCTTATTGGAAAATTATAGTTGTACAACCTCGATTGACAACCTCTCACGTGTGTGTGGGGTTCGCATGTTTTAAAAATTTAAAAAGAAAAAAGTGGACCCCTCCTATGTAAGTGGTTGTCAACTGAGATTGCCAATCTCGATTGTACAATTAGCATGACCATATCTTATTACTTTATCAATAAGCATGGCCCTCGACAGGTTCAAATTCCCCCGCATAAAGGAGTACGACAGGACTACTGACCCCATCAACCACCTCAATGTGTACACAGACTTCATGAACTTACAGGTTGTACCAGACCCAGTAATGTGCAAGACTTTTCCTCAAACTTTGACCGATGACGCTAGGGATTGGTTCTCCACGTTGGAGCCTAATTCTATAGCATCATTCTCAGATCTTGCCAATAAGTTCTCCGCCTTCTTCGCAAGTAGTAAGCGCATTAGGAAGATAGCAGTCACCCTTATACAACTTCGTCGGCGGGCCCAAATGAGACCTTACGTAACTTCATAATGAAATTCAACAAAAAAAGGTTACAGATACCCGACCTTCACATTACGGTGGCCCTATGATGCAGCCCAAACCAATGTTGAGTCCAGCCCATTTTGAATGCAACCCAACAGCCCATTTCCATTGCGTATTCTCGCGTTTTTAACTGAAGTGCAACTTTGGTTATTTATTTTGAAGGTTGAGATGATGCTATGTGCAATGGCTGTGGTCATTGGATATTTCTGACTGTTTGTATTATTGGCTTGACTTTTCATTTTGCATCTAGACTTCAAGATTATTCTTAGAGTTTTCTCTATTCTGCTCTTTGTGCATTCTCTCGGAAAAGTTTTGATTTTCGTCTTATAATCTTTGATTCTAGATGTTCTTGGTGAGGTCTACTATTGATTAAGGTGTAGTTGTGGTGAATCTGTTATTTGTTTTGAGCAGTAACATTTGGTTACTTTGTGTAATCACTCGAGAGTTTCTTGAGAGAATTTTTAGGTCTGAGGGGATAATCTTTTGTGGATATCTGTATTGTGAAACTTGTATTGATTATTTGCTGGTTTCTAATGGATTGGAGCGATAATCACTTTGGTGTATGCTCAACGGGTGATTAGCTCTAATTTTGGTGAACATGAAGGCCTACGGGCAAAAAATTTCTTATTTTCTTTAATTTTTGTAATTACTTGGTGTTTTGGGGCTTGTATAATACCAACAATCACAAATACCATAGAACTGTGAAGACAAAAATGAACTTCTTCAACAATATTTTTCTAATAACAAGCTCAACATTTTCAATTTCAAGTTTCAATGTTTCATAAAAAAATTTAAGGCTTAATCGCACAAAACGTCCCTACGTTTGGCATGTAGTGTGCAAAACGTCTCTACGTTTCAAATTTTTGCATTTTCACCCATATTTCTATTGTTCATTTCGGAAAACGTCATTTTCACCTATTTTTAAAGTAAAATGACCAATATACCCTCCTATATAAATAAAATAAAAAATAAAAGAAAAATAAAGAATAAACTGCAATCATACTCTAAAATTTTTAAAAAATGCAAATGATTCCAAAATTTATGAAAATATTAAAAATAATAAAAAAATATTTATCTCTTCTCCTCCGCCTCCCTTTGCCTCCACCACCACTGTCGTCGCAGCCAAAACCTTCGGAATTTCACCCCTCTACAATTGAACTCTGATTGCACTCCTATAGATGTGTTCATAACATCAAACAAAGCTGAAAATCAGAATATACAGTCATTTTCTTCAACAACGAATTCGTTCACTTCAAACTCATTTTTCGGTGCTGGCATTAAGGTCCACGATCACTGTCCACCTCCCCTAGCACTGCCTACTCAAGGTGCACCTAATGCACCTATGGGTCATCGTCAACTTTGCCCAGAAATGGAAGAACCACACTTGACAGTGCATAGACGTTAAAAATCAGTTTGATCCCCTTTCAATTGGCATTCCTCCACAACTCCAATCTACAAATTGCATCATCCAGCTTGTAATTAAAGGTAAAACAACCCTGGGTAAGGATTCAATTGCTTCAATTCATAAGCCAAATGAAACAATTTTGGATTGACATGATGAACTGTTCGTTCACGCGAAGGGAAAATTCTTCCATCCATTCGTGGCTCAATTGTGTCCCAACATACAAATCAACTTGGGAAAACTCAAATTCAGGCTCAAACAACATTGGGTAATCTTTCAATTGCAGAAATTACAGCCCTTGTTTGCCAAATTTTGGAGTCAAATATAGTTCCACACACACTACAAAGAGAAGAGAGAAAAAGCTCGAGCTAAATTTTGGAGTCAATTGTTTTTAGAGTCAAAATAAATGGGTGAAATTCCAATGGTTTTGGCGGCAACGGTGGAGGAGGCGAAGGAGAAGAGAGAGATTTTTTGTTATTTTTAATATTTTCATAAATTTTGGACTCGATTGCATTTTTATAAAGTTTAGGAGTAAGATTGTAATTTATTCTTTATTTTTCTTTTCTTTTTGTTTTTGTTTAATTTAGATGGGAGGGTATATTGGTCATTTTACATTAAAAATAGGTGAAATGGACGTTTTCCTCAATGAAACGTTGAAATATGGGTGAAAATGCAAAAAATTGAAACATATGGATGTTTTGCACACTACATGCCAAACGTAGGGACGTTTGTGTGATTAAGCCAAAATTTTAACATATATTTCAAGCACAGTAACATTCCAACAAGATTTCAAGGTTTCAAAAAACAATTTAAAGCATTAGAAGAGTTTCCCCCAACTCAAATGAAGATTAAGAAAACGTTAACCATGTTGTTGTAGGCATCGGAGTAGCTTGCTTCAATGTCGTCTACATCTTCGTTGCGGCTGTGTCTAGGGTCCATCGCAAGTGATGGGGTATGAACGTGGGGTTCACCACCATGTCGATGCCAACATCGAGGTTGCTGATGTCGTGAAATGAGTTCTCACGGCCTTCCATTTCGCTCGTTGAGTGGGTTGAAAATGAATGGGAAATGATATGGTCAAAATGGATCCTTTACTTGTCTTTTCTTCTGCCTTTTATTGTTTTTTTATTTGGTATGCGGCATATTGACTTTTCCACATTATTGCCATGTCACCACACTGTACACAATTCTGTACATGGACTGTATGTGCAGCGCTACTCCTTTCTCAATCTGTCTATATTGGAGATTCATTTTTTTAAAAAAAATTATTTTTAACCACAAATCTTTCTTAAAATAATTTTAAATGTAAATATAAATTTTTTCCTAATTTTTAACCACACATCTTTCACAAAAATCACTATTTCGAAATCTGACATTAACATTTCTTTTGTGAAGTTGTATCTTACCAAAAAGGTCAAATATGTTGGGGACATAAATTTGATTGACAAATACGTAACACTTTAGAGATGTGGACAATCAACCTACGCCTATAACAATGATGATGAATTCGAGTACTGATGACAATAAAAAAGGAACAAAAAGTATAACTGCGACCATGTTATTTTAGACCTTTCAATTTTGTAATATATTGATCTTAAATGGACATAAGCCACGAAATTTACCCATAACAACTAGATGCAATGAAATTTATTTCAAAATTAAAATGAGGAATACGTATAATTTTAATTTAATAAAAAAATAAGGGTATAATCATTAGAATCAGACTTTTTAGGCTAGTTTGATGTAGATTTTTTAGAATCGATTTTGCAAAAAAAAAAAAAAAAAATTAATGAAATATGTCCTCTTGAAAACGAATTAAAAAATGAATTTTAAAGAATTTATATCAAACATGGGCTAAATGGTTTCATCCACTAAGGACCAATAATGCTTTGAAATTGAAATGGCTGGGAGATTACTGCCAAAAAAAAAAAAAAGCTATGGACTAATTTTGCAAAATTTTCCGTTTAATGGCCACCAAAATTCATTTTCTGACCGTTGATATCAATTTCAGCCGCAACAATTGACTGGCTGTGAGTGGTGCGGGCCCCACTAACGGTCAGGAAAGCAATTAACATTTGGCCAAAATCAATACCAGACACCTTCCTAATATTTTAGCAACGTCGTTTCATTGGAGATTGAGACTACAAATCTTGTCGTCAACTAGACACATGCAACATTTATGTGCATGTTTCTACATTTTAGGGGTAAATTGCAATGCATTTTTTCGATACATCTAATCGATCTCTGTAAAACATAGTGTTTTAATTATTAAAATTTCATTGTTACACTACATACCAACAATCTCAATAGATGGACACGATTTAATTTGTCACCAATTTTTGTTCCAAAAGAACAACTATACACTTGTTTCTAAAGCAAAATAGAATTGAAAAAAACGAAGTTAACGGAAAAAAAAAAGAGAGCAAACGCTAGGACAAGGTGTATGAAAATCACCGCAGACTAAAGAGGAAGCTCCAAGTATTCTCTAGAAAATTGCTGATGATTCCTTGCAAATCAAATTCCTTAATATCTGAGTATTCCTAGAAGAATCTGGAAAAATTATTGAAAGCCAGCTACCGCCATACTTGAAGCTTCAACCACCGGGTTTATTTCCTATATATGTGTGTTGTTGGTTGCATGTATCGTGCATGAGTGATGAGAGAAACACACAAGTGTGTATGCAGAGGAAGAGAAAGGCAGCACACATAATAATTTTGTACTAGTGTTGCTACATAATAAAATATTTTTTTAGATTTTAAACTCGATAAATTTGATATCAGAGCTAGACGATCGGGGACTAATTTTTGAGCTTTTAGAGTTCGTGCACAAATTGAGATTGTGATGCTTTTCTAGAGTTTGCTTGATTACGAAAAGATAAATCAAGTTACGATAGACGACCTACAATAATAGGTAGAATGAAAAAGCT